ATTTACTTCCTAGAGATTATGCTTTGACAAATATTACTGCTTTGGGTCTGAGGCCAGATATCTCTCAATTGGTGCTTCTTGTCAATTACTGGTACTACTTTCTCTTAGCACGATATCACATATGGCTTGCTAAAACAAAAGACGATCATCCAAATCTTACGCATTTCTTATGCACACTAAAATCACAGTATGAAATAGAAACAAAATGTGGAGACACAAAGAAATGGAAAGCTCTCACAGGATATACAAGGAGTTAATTAATATTTTAGATTATATTTTCTATACCTATCTGTATTTATCTCCTACCTGTTAGGCTATTTCTAGTGTCCCGTCAGGTGCATAACTCATTTTACCTATAATGTACCACAGGCTTTTGGTCTGTTTTTGATGTTTCTATAGAACAAGCTCAAGCTGTTAAAAATGATAATTATCTATTTTTCTTCTTTTTTTCTTTACCCCTTGTCGTCACTGTATTTGTCAGTACTGTAGTGTACTGTAAGTCGTGTACTAGATATTTTAATTTAAATAGTGTAAATAATTAGAGCAACATAATGTAAATAGAGCTAGTGGCAGTGTAAGTAGTCTAACTAGTGTACTGTTTGTAATTATATTGTAAGCATTGTATTCCCTTGTGTTATTGCAAATAAAAAAAAAGGGAAAAAAAAACACTCGTACTAACATGTATCTCTTATCAGGGCAAACAAGAAACAATGAAAAAAATATCAGTGGAGGAAGTGAAATACATCAAACACAGCAGGTCAGTCAATGTTTTTCTTTATATGTCATGGACAAGTGTATCACTATTATTTTAGTCACCTTGAGGAACAGGTACACAGTGTACATGGGTGGACATGTCCCATAATAGGATGAAATTCAGCCTTGAGAATTATCCAGCAGAGTGCAGTTTTTGACAGGATTGATGCTAAGTTCAATGATAGTTGTTGATGTCAAGATTATTTGGGAGCATCCATGCTCTTTTTTTTTTTGATTGCACAAAAAGAGTTCTTTGGCTTTTTTTTCCCCAAGGATTTGTCAACTAAAAGTGGTGCTTCTTCTCCTTGTAACAACAAGTAATTAAAGCTGTTGATCTTTTCAATTGTCAAAAAAGTTCTAGTTTCTTTAAAAGTATTGACCTTCATAAACTAAACATAGCCTGCATAGCAAGTGTTTCTAAGCCAGACCATGGAAAAATAATTCATGAAGCAGAGGGTGGTGGGGTGAGGGAGGGAATGCAAATACCCACAAACCCCATGATTCTGAAAAACACCCACTGAATTCGGTCAGTTTAGGCGTTTTTGTTTTGTTTTTTATTATAACGAGGATGCGTTTTAAACAGGTTTTAAAACAGGTCTTTTTGTATGCGACTGTTAAACCCTGTCTTTCTTAAGCTCGAAATATTAATTCTCCTTACTAGTCACATAAACTCCCTTTAATGCCAGTTCTGAGAATTTTACTCTCCACCAAATGTACTCAAAACTAGCAGTTAGTGAACGAATAAGACTTACTACAGGTACATGTGGCTTTTGGCTCGCATTATGAAGAATGACTCATTGACAAGTGTTATTAGGAATTCGAGGATTAAAATCTGTTCTGCAAATTTTTGATATAATTAAAGGGGTGCATGGAAAAAGGCCCTAAGTGACTCTTGATCTCATGTCAAATACTCCTTTTCTGTACAAGGAAGTGAAAAGCAATTTGCTAGGAGAATTTTGCAGTCTATCGGATGTAACTTAGGGTCATTTTCCGTGCGCCCTTTCAATTGTGAAGAGCATGCAGTGATTCTGAGTGATTGTGCTGAAAAACTTGTAAAACAAGATATGGACTATAAATGATCTTAAAAGCTGTGGATCAGTGCATATACTTGTACAATACAATGGAGTGACATTCATTTTGTGTCTGTGTTTCTCTTGGGCATACATTTCAATGACATTATGTCAGGCATTACAAGGTGTGGTGGCCTCATGGTTAGTGCAATCAACTCCACATGAAGCAGTCCGGGTGCGAGCCCTAGCCGGAAACATTGTGTTCTGTTCTTGTGAAAGGCACTTTACTTTCACAGTGCCTCTCTTCACCCAGGTGTATAAATGCACACAGGTGAATTTAATGCTGGGGTAGCCCTGGGGTGGTCTAGCATCCCATGCAGGGGGGAATAGAAATACTCCTAGTCACTTCATGCCACAGAAACCAGGATAAGCTTTGGCCTAATGGGCCACMTGGCTCATATGCAAACTTTACTATGTCTGAGGCACCTKMACTAATCCAAAAAAATAAATAAATTACAGACTTTATTTTCTGATATATGAATGTACAATTTTGACAATGGCAGAACTTTTCTTATTTTTCACAGCTGGTAGAGCTAAAGAATGGAGAGACATACAATGGACATCTTGTAAGCTGTGACAACTGGATGAACATAAATCTAAGAGAAGTCATTTGTACTTCCAGAGTAAGTTTCTTCAGCAGCAGCTACAGTTGCTGCCCTTGTCTGTATTATTTTTAATTATATGTATCCCTGCAAATATTTGCTGAAATGTCATTGCATACATTAAGTGCAATTTTGCAGGGGTTTCATTAAGGGCCAGGCACAGGGCAAATTGACCAGATGTGAGGATGATTTTACCTACCTGGTTTGACCATCTAGCAGAAAGTTTTTCTTCAGCAGCAGCTACAGTTGCTGCCCTTGTCTGTATTTAAATTAGGCGTATCCTTGCAAATATTTGCTGAAATGTCATTACATACATAAAGTGCAATTTTCCAGGGGTTACATTAAGGGCCAGGCACAGGGCAAACTGACCAGATGTGAGGATGATTTTGCATACCTGGTTTGACCATCTAGAGGAAAGTTTTTCTAATAAAGAAGTTCAATTCGAAACATATTGCCCACCTGTGAAAACCAGTCGCCCTCTTGCTGAAAATGTTTTATGAAACCTCTTTTGTCATGCTTTGATCACCTTTTGTTAAGGAGATGACCTCTGTTTTCTCCTTTCAGGATGGAGACAGGTTTTGGAAGATACCTGAATGTTACATCAGGGGTAGCAACATAAAATATCTTAGGATTCCAAATGAGGTGTGAATAGATTATTGAATAGAATCATCATCCTTTGCTTTTAAGTATCGCTAATGTTGACAGGTTTTGGCCTTGACATNTTAAATAGATGACCTCTGTTTTCTCCTTTCAGGATGGAGACAGGTTTTAGAAGATACCTGAATGTTATGTCAGGGGTAGCAACATAAAATATCTTAGGATTCCAGATGAGGTATGAATAGGTTAATGAATAGAATCATCATCCTTTGCTTTGGGGTATCACTAATGTTTACAGGTTTTGGCCTTGACATCATAACCAAAATCTGCTCAGCGAAGCTAACATCTTTGGCATCTTGCATGTAGGTTATTGACATGGTAAAATATGAAATGGTAAAACAAGGAAGAAGCAGAGGCACAGGAAGACCAGGTATGACAAATTACCGGACACCTGCATTTTAAACCCCTACTGTTCCTCCAAAGAAGGCCAAAGGGCAAACATGAAACTACATGTTCTCCTAAATAGCTTTTCATTTTAGTGGTCACACATTTGCTAAGGGTTTCATCCACAGACTTAACTGATACAAGTAGAACTGCCTTGTACAGCATAATGAACAGTACCACATGAAAGGACTGCTCAATAGCTTTCATTTGAATGGTCACACACTAGGGTTTCCTCCACAGACCTAAAAGTTAGAACCACCTTGTACAGCTCAATAAACAGTACTACATGAAAATGCTACTCTATGGCTTTCTTTTTAATGTTCACACACTAGGGTTTCATTCACTGACTTTTAAGTTAAAAAACGTTAGAACCATCTTGTACAATGTAAAAACAGTGCCACGTGAATGTACTGCTCAGTAGCTTTCATTTGAATTGTTATCCTGTGGTTTTGTCTATTATGACTCTGCAAAAAAGCTACAGAAGGCAGTCCTGTGAAGATAGCATGGTTGAGAAAATCCCATATGTACTGATTCAATAAAAGTGTTAGTTTTCATTGGTTTAAATTTGTTTCATCATTAGGGCGTGGTGGTCGTGGCGGAGGCGGAGGCCGAGGAGATCATAGTGGAGGAGGGGGTGGAAGAGGAGGTGGAGGAGGGGGCCAGAAGAGAAACAGAGATAATAGTGCTGGAAAGTAGCTTAACACATCAGTGATGTAAATAGCTTTGTTATATACATGTATAACCTCAAGGTCAAAATACAGAAACTGTGTAAGCCTTGTCGTCTGTTGACTGAAGCCACAGGGCACAGGAGCCTTGCAGGGTCTGATTACTCCGCTAAAAACGTCTGGGTAACAAGCTCAACAGTGCTGTTTGAGGTGACAGTTGAACTGACCAAAGAACTGTCAATAAAACATACAAGCTCAAAGTCCTGTAAGACAGTTTCTTTTTTTTCTGTGAGTGAAGTGATTTTTATTTGCTAAATAGACATTAACATGAAGGTTCACATGAGTCCGACGTAAAGATAATGTTAGCTAGCACCTTTCCTTCATTATAATTGCAAAACTCTTGTAAGCAAATTTGGATATAAGAATATATGTGTAAGATTCTCGAATGGATATACTTTTTGCTATGTCGTTTGTGTCGCATTTAGAAAGTTTATAGAGTAGTACAAGGCTGTTTTAACTCCCAACTAAGGTACGACTCCTTGTACAACTGGATGACCGCCTTAGGTAAAAAGTGACCGGGAGCCCCTTTCTCGAAAGTCCCGGTAACTTTACTTATCCGAAGCCATGTTTTTAACAAATTGACGGCAGTTTTTCGTGCGTCTGTCCTGTTATTTATCATGAATTTCGTCATAACATTGTTAAAGTAGCTGTGGATCCACGAGGGAATAGCCGAGTGGATTCGCAGACTACTTTGACAATGTTGTGACGAGATTCATTGTCAATAACAGGACAGACGCATTAAAAGCTGACATCAATTTGTTTTTTACGAGAACAAATTGTCAAATTGTCCACTCTCGCTCGTTGATGCATCGCATAGATGATAAATTCATGTGTCTGTCCGCTTAATGACAATAAAAATTAGCCAATGAACGCACCAGAATTTCTGTAGTTATCGTAAAATAACCCACTGACTCCCGTGCCGCCTGTAACCGGCCATGACGAGCGTTGACCTTTGTTTCACTTCTGACGTTATCGCCTTTGACCAAAATTGGCATCACTTATACTCGTTTGTGAAATATTTTTTAACTCGAGAGGATGATCAGATGAGGGAGGGGAGGGTGGAGGGGGTTGATGAAG